AGTTGCACATTTGCAACGCGACTTTCATGAAGCGCGCCAACGGTGATACTGACCAAAATCATCTACATTCATATCTTTTAAATTATCAACCCAGCTAGGTAATTTACAACAGTCGGTATCGTAACATTTGTAAAAAATTTGATCTTGCCTGTAAACTGGCGTGCATCATGTAACAAACTGTTATTTGAGAATAAATTATTACTATTATTTATGTAATAATCGGAAGTATTTGGATTATAGTCTGAACTAAGAATCCCAGAAATAACGTAATCGGATCAAAAAGTATTAGATAACCACAAACGGATGTACTGTATTTAGAATTCGAAATCAAGCATGCAACAAGTACAGAGGTATCATTAGTTCACCCAAACACCACATCCGCCACGGCTTAAATTGGATTCTAGGTGTCTGTAATCAGTTGTGCGTCTTATTCTCAAGTTCATCCTGTGTCTTATAATAGACCACGTGAAACTGAGTTTGTTCACAATTTAATCAAGTCATTTTATTAACTTATTAACGAACTGAGTCATCCTAACAACAAATTATCTATATCATTGTATCTTCATTACTATTGCGAATGTATGAACATGTATACCTGAATATTGCTTACGGCTCACGCATTTATTCACTATGCTAGTATTACTACTAACCGCTTATTTGATTCGATGACTCATTCATTTCACTATGTATATATATATATATACATGTTATTCATATTCATTGCCCTCTCGCTCGCTTAATTGTACTCGCGTACTCGTATTCATATTCCCTGACTCTCTCGCTTGCTTGCTTGCTTTTCGGCACAACTCTTCTGTGCTTGTTTAACGCATCTGTAATTTTGGATATCTGTGTGTGTGGTCCCGTAATAAACGAAATCAACGCTTCGTATTCGCCTTCTGATTAATATACCGTTGGGGCGTTATATAGAACGGTTACCAAGACGAACTGTATACGAGGTTTAAGGATTACATCGAATACCGACCATCACAGTCTGTCCGACATTGTATTGGACAAAGACTCTGTTATATAGAATGCACTCATTAGTACTAGAATTAACAACCGAAATCCGAACAGACTCACCTGCTTCCTGGGATTGTGTAATCAGCATGTCGGTTGTGTACTGAAACCGCTGCTACTTAGAGTTTGAATAATAGACTTTTAGATTATCCTCCCCCACGAAATAGTTTTGGATCTTTATATCTCCAAGTTAGGAATGATGTGGCCTCATTTAAAACATATTTCTCACATTGGATAGAGTAAACTTTAGAAGTGATTTTGTGATACGGATAAACAGCAGTTGATATGAAATCACCCGAACTTTAATCAAACTCGAGCTCATTCAGTACTTGTGCTTCGCATTGAACAAGTTCCCCACAGGAAACAAATGCATTGTGAGGACAAATAATATTTGGTATGACATCAAGCTTTGACTCTTGTGAAATAGTTTCCTCAAATTTACTAAGAATGTCATTGCAGAGTAAATGATCATCAGAAAAATCAGCATCTATCAAAACTACACCAGGTTTTCGATCATGACTAGGTTCACTCAACACATTTTTCCCAGATTTGTAAGGAATTTCGTCAGAAATAAGTGAACCATCAGGAAAAACCATATCTGGTACAATAACATGAGAAATCTGATAAGTTGATTGATTAGAAACTGTTGTCTTGCAAGGATTCTGAGTTTCATTTAACTCTGAACTGCTCTATGACTCTACACTGTCTTTTGAAATCGTTGATAAAGATAAATGATCATTATAAACGCTCAACTTAATAGAATCAGAATTACAAGACTTAATATTAGTTGCAGCAAGATGAACAGTAGTATTACAAACTGACTGAATACGTCCAATATCACCACATTTAAAGCACTTAGAATTACGAAATTTACATGAATTAAGACAGTGGAACTTGCCATAGGACAAACGTTGACCAAACTTGTGCCCATCCTCGCGAACTGCATCGAAACTCCTCAATGAATTAACTGCATAGCCTTGAGTATGCACTGGGTTGGGATGACATAATGTAGTGGAATTATTTATATCCATGTGAATCATCTTGCGAAATCTTCCTCCTCCACGACATTCGAAATTTTTATACTTAACATAGTCTAGCAGTAGATCCTGGAGAGTTTTATAAAGAAGCGAGATAGGCTTTTCCGGCACAGCCAGAGTTTTTAATAAGCTATATGCTTCTTTTCCGATGAATGTGAGGAAATGTGCCACAATATTAACATCCTCAGCATCTTCTTTGGTCATAGCCCAGATTTCAAACCTTTCAAAGTAATCCTCAAAGGCACCAAGATCTGAATGTATATCCAACAGTTCCATCACAGGCTCCATCGCGACGCCAATGTGATAATTAGAAGTATTTGAATTATAGTATGAACTAAGAATCCCAGAAATAACGTGATCGGATCAAAAAGTATTAGATAATCACAAACGGATGTACTGTATTTAGAATTCGAAATCAAGCATGCAACAAGTACAAAGGTATCATTGGTTCATTCAAGCACCACACTTTAGCGACTCGGAGGCAATGTTTTAACGCTCAGTTTTACTTTGTCCGATGTTATAACGGTTGGGTTTGCACGTTTACACGTATGGGACGTTAATCTACCCTAGACGAATATCTACACTAGATTCCTCCCCATTGTCTATTCTACAGGACGTCAACACAACTCAGATCAAGAACACGTGGTTAGCCTGACCACAGCGCAAATATTTTTCCACACCAAAAACCCGACACAAACCAACAACAATGAACAATCAATAATAAGTGGGAGTGATAATAGTAAGGATAAGAGAATATATAACTCATCTGATACCTGTCAGACCATCTGCATGTATGACTAAGCAGACAACCAATCATTATCAATCTCGCCCACACATCACCTATGATCTGAAATCTTACTCTAATTGCGACGAAAACACCTTTGACAAAACCTTGTACTGGTAACATTTAAGTGCATGTTTGGTCGGTTTGACGAAGAAACTTACCACTTATTCTTCACCATTTTTTTTGGATCCCATCTAGAGTATCGAAATATCGTGTTTTTTCTTTACTCCAAAAGAATAAGAACACCCGGAACGTATTCAAAGGCAAGTCATGAAATCACATCAAGAACTCGAATTCATACCTTATGAAGAGCACTTTAAATCGCTGAATCGTTACCCGTTGCAGCATAGGCATCTCACAGTTGATTGTTTTATGATTCATAGCATCCTGAACATCCCTGAACACCTCCTGTTCAAAACTTACGTTAGCTCAGTCCCAATACAAACCTTAGAGGTAGCACCCAGAAATCGGAGACACAACATAGAAGAATGAACTGTAGGAAGACCTTTTACTCTTTATGAGCATTCAAATTCTGAGGTGGTTCAGGTGACTTCCTAGGAGTTCTTCAAGAGTATACTTGAAATATTCTAACGGACTCGGGACAGCACATCATTGTTCACTGATATTTCTCTTTTTATCGTCAGATATACCTAGGGTCTTGGCTGGAGGCATCAGTGAACTACTGCTACCAGATATGGACCCCCATTAGGCGAAAGCTTCTTCTGTTCCATCCAGAACCATTTGTACCATTCGAAACCCCAACAGCATGGTTTCAGGAAGCGTTACTCTTGTATAACCAACCTGCTGACTGCGGTGGACAGATGGACAAGCATCCTCGATTGCAAGGGAAAGGTTGATGTCATTTACCTTGATTTCTCAAAAGCTTTTGATAAGGTTAACCACTTGTGTCTTATCAACAAGCTCAAACGACTAGGTATCAAGCCACCCCTAATCGATTGGCTTACTTCATACCTAAAAAATCGACACTTTAAGGTTAGGGTTAATTTCACTTTATCTCAGGCTATGGAATGTCCTAGTGGGGTCCCCAAGGGCTCAGTACTAGGGCCTCTTCTCTTCTTGATCTACATAAATGATCTTCCTCAACAGGTAACGTCAGACTTATTACTTTTTGCCGACGACGTGAAACTTTGGAGAGAGATACGCAACCAAGACGATACACAGGCACTTCAGGAGGATCTGACTCGACTTCAAAGTTGGGCAGACGATAACGGACTTACCTTTAACACTTCAAAGTGTAAAGTAGTCCATCTGCGACATGTTGCAAACTACAGTTACAACTTAGGAAACTCCTCTCTAGTAGTATCCCAAGTCGAAAAAGATTTAGAAGTCCTGGTGCCCCATGATTTAAAGTCTTACGCTAACTGTGACAAAAATGCCTTCCGAGCAAACCTTGCACTGGTAACGTTGAGGCGCATTTTTGGCCAGTTTGACGGAAGAACTTTCCACACAATCTTCAATAGCTTCATCCGTCCCCATTTAGAGTACGGAAACATAGTACTCCCCCCCTCACTCCAAAAGGACAAGGTCACTTTGGAGCGTATCCAACGACGAGCCACGAAATCAGTTCGAGGACTCAAATCTAAGCCTTACGACGAACGCCTCCGTTCACTAGACCTTTACCCATTAGAATATAGGCGTCTTAAAGGTGATTTATTAATGGCTTATAGTATTCTTAACACTTCTGGACATCCTCTTAAACACCTACTTAAGCTTAGTTCGAATAATAACCTAAGGGGTAACACCCAGAAACTGGAAACACAACATAGCAAGACGGAATGTAGACACAACTTCTACTCCTTAAGAGTTGTCAAAAGCTGGAATTCGCTGCCGGCCGAGCTAGTCCAAGCGACTTCTCAGGAGTCCTTCAAGAGGCAACTGGACCTATTCTTAAGGACCAAGGGCAGCATCACACTATGATTTACCAATTTCTTTTCCTCTTTTATTGTTAACATACCTAGGTTCCTGGCTGGAGGATTTGGTGATCCCCTGCTACTAGACACGGAAGCCTGTTAAGCGAAAGCTTCCTCTATTCCGTCCACAACCATTTGAACCATTTGAACCATTTGAAACTTATGACTGTAACCTTGAAATTGAGGATTGACAAAGTTAGGGAAGTTTCGAAGACATAGTTTATCCTAGTGATGGACTCAGGTTCGTCCTAAGATTATTTGATGTGGTGGAATCCGTCTGAAGCAGTCCCGCCTATCGTGTTTTAAATGAGATTGCTATTGCCAAGTTTTCGAGCCAGAATAGCGTTAGATATTGTACTGGTAGCATTTTGCCAAATAGTTCAAACTTGAATTGGTTGCTGTGATATAATGCTGTAGATGTCATTCCATATGAGTGTGACATAAAATCTCAAAGGTTTCTTCTTTTAACCCTTCGTGATATACACCTAGGGTAGTTCGTGGTAGAATCCTTCGCGGTATGCTCAACCAGCTGCAAACCTTGATCGTTGATTTGGGCTGTTTCAGAGTCCCTTGACTCCTCCAAATCCCAAGTAATCAAATTTAAACTAGACTAAACTTGTTTTATTTGCAACTGTTGAAGTTATCGATATCGAATCCAAAACGTGCACCATTTACTCATGTTTGACCATCCTTTCAATATTATCATTGCCATAATGTAGGTCAAAATAGAGCTTATGAGTCTACCCTTGATTACGGGAGAAGATCTTTCGCGTCTATGTTTTTACTTCTTGAGGCCTCATTCCATTACGTGACCCAATTTTCCATCAATAGGAGTTATAATCTCTTCACATCCTGTTTCCTCGTATAGATTGTCAATAGCTTATAGACTAGACACCCCATAGATTGTCATTTCTTTTTTTAAAATATGGGGTGTATTTTGTTTACGTATAGCGTTAGCTTGGATTAATGCTTCTTATTCGAACATATCATCAGTCGAAATCACAGTTGGTACTTCCCAAATCGGGGCTAGACTTGTAACATTACACGAAGTATATTTGATGCTGGGTTCGTTGTTGATTATGCTGAACTGCACTTTCACCTATTTATTCGTTTGTTCGTCTGATTCGTATATTTCTAGTTATAACGAAAATATAAAATTTTAATTGATATGTTGGTGTTTGGACTCAGAGAGCTTCGTAAATAAATATTTCTCAATTAAAATAAATACAGTTCAGTGAAGAAACTTTTCTTTTTGATGTCATTTACTAGAGCTAAACAACCGTATTCATAGTTATTTTACGCCTGGTGGTCTATAATACAATAGTGAATCGTCGCACTAGTTGCAAAAGCGCTTGAGATTGGTGAAAAGTATTTTAAAGTTGCATAATAGTCGGATGATAAACACAAAAATAGTGTGTGGAAGGGAGACAAAAGAAAATCACCCGTTTGGCGAATGTAGAGAAGATAACGAAGCACTAATAACATAAAAAAGATTTGAAAAATCAGAAAGCTGTGTTAGGACCATGGCGAATTACCAACAAACATCTTAGTTATTAATTTCATCTACTCTTGAAGTATTATTCGGCCAGTCACTTTTGGCTTTAATCCATCTATCTTGGGCAGAACATTTTATTGAATGTAAAATCCCATTGTATCAATAATATATTCAGAAACTGAGCCTCGTATTGTACTGGTTTTAAAGTATTGGTATAAAATGTGCTAGTGATAAATGTTTAATATGATGTACGTCCTTTTTAGCGTTTTTTACGACTATTTTGAAGGAGTTCATATTTACCATAAATACAAACTGGAGTACTCTGTTGAAACAAAAATGGCCCATTTCAGTTCCTCAGGCTTTGTGTATTCAAATATCGAGCCAACTCGTAGTCCTTTTAGTTCATTAACACACGTCATCCAGCTGCCGGTTTATACATAGATTTCATACATTTTTTAGACTTTTTTCTCATTAATGTTCCAATACACTGGAATTTACATTTGATTTAAAACAGTTACTTTGTTTTATCTGAGAAGTTTATATCTATCATTTTATGTACAGGAATTACAGATAATATTCGACGTCGGAAACGAAGAGAACTTACAGCAGGACAAAAACAAGAAATTGTTGAAGCATTTGACCTTTTTGATACAGATAAAGATCAACAGATCAGTTATTACGAATTCAAGGTATGATCGTAATATATATCATGATTTTCCTTACAGGTTGCACTTCGAGCACTTGGATTTGAGTTAAAAAAACAAGAGGTTCTAAAAACTTTGGAGGACTACAACATCAAAGAAGATTCTGGAAAACTACGATTTGAAGATTTCAATGAAATAGGTGAGCATGATATTTACTGAGTTATGGTGATTTATTCTACACTTCACTAAAGATAGTGAAATTATATTATGCTCAAATCCTTAATCATATATTTTCAGAAATCACTATTAATCCCTTATCTTTTGCTCAATGTTCCTAAAGATGATGATGTTACTGACTTAATTAATAATCCTATAAACGGCTTAAGTGACGGTGCAAGGATGTCGAGGATTCGTTCCTGTCATTCGGAATTCCAAATTATAGTCCAAACTGGTCTTTTATCCAGTCTGATTTTCAAGAATAAAGTAGGTAAACGCGTTAATCACTTTGCTTACTTTGGAAACTTCATCAAACCTGTCGAGTATGTTGACTAGGCATTGTATGGACCATTTAAGCCAACACCATGTGTTACAAAAGTGTGTAAATTTTACTTAAAGCCAATCTTTTTTAATTCTACATCCATAAATCTGGATGCAGCAGTCGTCAAAAGCAAGAAAGAAGTACCTCTGTGCTTCTCTTAAATCAGAAATGCTATCTCATCCACAGATCAGCCCTCAGCATTAATACAACTCGTATGTTATTGATCATCGTATGGTATTTAAATACCTTATAAATGAATTTCACAAATAGTATAAAGTCCAGGATTACAGATTTAGATGCTTCCACTAATGACACTGGTATGTTAGTCAGTTAATTTATTGAAATTAATTATTAGATTAGGTTTTGGCTTCTTAAAAAAAGTATATGAGTTAATCGAAATTTCACGTTTTTTAGACGTTTGTATTGAATTACATAGGTTTACAGATAAAACGTTCACCAAGTCACCCTTGTGTATTGGTCCATTTGTTTTTGCAATATATGATTATCGTCTTAGATAAATCCAAATTTATTCTATTAATTCTCCAGATAGTGAATACAAACTAACAAGGATTATTTGCAAATTAAGAAATTCCACATATAACAACTTTCAATACTTCCCTCTCAAATCTTCCAGTGGAATTAGGAATTGTATAACTGTGTTTGGAAATTTTGAGGTCTTTAATGTAGTTGTTAGTCATCAGCATTAGTGCATAAGTGTAGCGTTAAACCAATTCAGCCTATTTGGGAGATTTGAAACTTTTCCGTTAATTTAAAATAAAATAGATATGTATATCAGTCAGTCAGTCAGCTACAAAGTAGGACCAGGCACATATGTGCATCGGTCCAGGTTGCCATACCGCATCAGCACAACAAGATGAACACCGGATTCATAGCAGTGGTTAGGTCAAAGGTAGTAATATGTAAGAGAAAGATTGCATATAGAGATATAGTACAAGAAGAAAGAATTGGTTCGTAGAAAGAAAGATATGAAGCGATTTTAATCTCTTAGTTTAAGGGAAGACAGGGAGTGTATACACCTACGCCATTGTGACCGATTCTGAGCCATGTCACCAAGAGTCTACAACCATTGGTTACGATAGTCACGCGGACCCCAACCAAGTAGTCTGCATCTACCAACATGGCTCAGACTAGAAGTTAGTGAATTCAGGCACTGATGCCACGTTTTGGTTTGGCCGCCCCTAACTTTCTTCCAACCATTTCCAATACCGGATAGCATTGCACGTCGTGGTAATCGGTGTTCAGGCATACGTAATACGTGGCCCAACCATCTCAGTCGATGAAGATTCATAACCTCATCAACTGATTTACCATCATTCCCTAATACCCTGCGTCTAACCTCACTATTACTTACCCGGTGATCCCAGCAGACGCCAGCAATATTTCTAAGGCATCTGTGGTCAAATACTAATAGCTTACGAGTGTCTTCTACTCTTAATGGCCATGTTTCGCTGCCGTAAATTAAAACAGAACGGACTGCCGCGCAGTATACTCGTCCTTTTATTGATAGACGGATATCTCGCCTTCACCATAGGTGACGTAAGTTGGCAAAAGCCAATCGAGCTTTTCGAATCCGTGCTGAGATTTCGTCCGATACCAACCCATTAGGGCTGATCAGACTTCCAAGATAAGTGAAGTTGTCAACGCGTTCGACTACTTCACTCCCTATCCTTAGTTCAGGTGTTGACGCAGACCAGTCCTGAAGCAACAATCTGCATTTAGAGGGAGAGAAGCGCATTCCAAACATCCTGGCATTGTTGCTCAGTGCTACCAGAAGACTCTGCATTTTGTCAGCGTCTTCACCAAACAGGACTATGTCATCTGCGTATTCTAAGTCGATAAGTGGACCTCCTGGTAGGAGATCAATACCCGAGAACTCAGTCGACGAGAAAGTTATTTCCATCAGTAGATCTATGATGAAGTTAAACAAAAATGGGGAAAGTGGACAGCCTTGACGGACACCATTTGAGGTTGCAAAAGTAGATGACAGTTCGCCATAAGCTCTGACTCGACTAGTAGTGTTCGAGTAAAGAGCCTTTACAAGGTTTATGTACTTCTGGGGTACGCCTTTCAATGACAGACACTGCCACAGAATCTCGCGGTCTACCGAGTCAAATGCTGCTTTTAAGTCGAGAAAGACCACCATTGTCGGACGCCGATAAGTATGCCTGTGTTCTAGAATCTGACGAATGGTGAATATGTGGTCGATGCAGCCACGACCAGGTCTAAAGCTAGCTTGGTTCTCTCGTGTTTGCAGTTCACGAGTCTTAGTTAGGCGTCTGATAATTATCGAGGATAGTATTTTAGATATTATATTAGTTAAACTAATCCCTCTGTGGTTGTCACAGGATGATTTTGACCCTTTCTTATATATTGGGACGATAAGTGATTGTGACCAGTCAGATGGAATAACGTCTAATTCCCAGATCTTAGCTAAAATATTAGTCAACCTAATCGCTAAAATTGGACCACCATCCTTAAAGACCTCTGGAGCCAATCCATCTGGACCAGCTGCCCTTCCTCGTTTCAGATTAACTATAGCCTTTTGAACTTCAGCAAGAGTTGGGGGACCTACTTCAATGTTCCATTCACACTGTCTGGGAATGGAGGGTAGTTGTAGAGCAGCTGAAGGCCAGCTGAACTGTTCTCTGAAATGTTCCGCCCATCGTTCTAAACGCCTGGACTGGGAGCAGATGAGAGTATCGTCTTTTTCCGATATAATCTCACTTACACTTGACTTATTAATTCCAGTTTCTTTTATTAGTCTGTAAAGCTGTCTTGTGTTCCCTATAGTCGCCGCCTTTTCCATCTCTTTTGCTTTCGTTGCCCACCACTGCTCACGGTCGTTTCTTAGACTTTTTCTTAACCTAGATCTGATTTGTTGTCGCTCTTTATCATGTTCGGAACCTGATGGGACGAGTTTGCGAGAATCCATCAGTGTGATAGACTTTGAAGAAATCCACTGGTTCTTTGAAACTCTGTGGTTTAAGTCGCTAATAGATGTCACTGCTGTTTCCACAGCTGCCTGTATTTCATTCCAAGCAACATCTGGGTCAGCCTCGTCTTCAGAACTACCTAATCGTGACCTCAGTTGTTCCTGGAACCTACTTTTGGTTTCTTCGCTACTCAGTTCGGTTCTAATGGGTCTTTTTACTGTGGCTTTTTTGCGTCCAGTGAGGCGCAAGCAGATGCGTGCCCGTATTAGGGCGTGGTCGGAGTCCAAGCAGGTACTCCAGAATGAGCGACAATCTTGTACCGACCCTCTCCAACGATGACTGATGGCAATATGGTCTATTTGAGTCCATCGTTGGTTTGGTGCGGGCGGTCGCCACGTTAGACGATGTCTCTCCTTATGCTTAAAATTTGTTTGCTAAAAATAAACGATTGTCTGAACACAGTTGCAGCAGACGGTCACCATTATCTGTTCGCTGTGCTGGAATGCTAAAATATCCACCTAAATGCCTTTCTGTTTGGTTTAAGCTACCTATCTGAGCATTAAAGTCACCCCCTATGAGTATTATGTCTGAGCGTTTAGCTTTCTGAAGAAGTTCAGAAAGCTTTCTGTAAAATTCATCTTTCACATCATTTGAGCTGCAGTCAGTGGGAGCGTAGGCAGAAACGACGAAAAGGCAACGACGTGTGTCCCTATCCTTCCGAGTTTTTACGGAGCCGTTTAGCCGAACAGCACATAGACGACTGTTGACGGGGATCCATTCTAGCAGTGCTTGTTCGGCCCTCATGCTTAGTGCTATGCCTACACCTGCCAGTCCACGAGAACTGGCCATCGGGTCACCAGATACACGTAGGGTGTATCTCGTTGACTCTCCGTTTTGCCGAGGTGAGGTCAAGTGAATGACCACACTGGAATCCTGTATGCGTGTTTCGGAGACACAGCATACATCAATGGAAAGAGACTCTAGGGTTTTAGCCAAGGAAGCCTGCTGACCGATTTGACATAGAGTGCGTACGTTGAAAGCTCCAATGTGTAGTTTGGAGCGAGGTTTCAGTAGACCTGGGACAGAGTTTTGAGCACTAGAATCGTTGGCTATGGTGACACTTGAGGAGGAAGCCGAAGGAGGAAGTTTAGGGTTGAAAGTCGATGTAGAAGGAATAATAGGAATTGAAGAGGATGGTTGATTATGAATACAGTGGTCTTGGGTGCTGTTAGAGGTATGAGGGCGGTTATCACTTCTCGGTTGCCCACACCGTGAAAGGGTTCTTCTGGAGGTACCTGAAAAGGAAATTGGATTAGTGTTGGTCTTGACGACCTGGAAGCATGACCGCAGAGCCCAAGGGACAACTGCTTGAGGCCGGTCGCGCACGGCCTTTTCATGGGAGGTTTTTGACGTGTTAGCTCCGTTCTTCAAAGGGCCTTACCGCCGGAGACGGAAATCCGTGAGGTAAGGTGAGGTGTGCATTTTTAGGGTCGACCTTTTCTAACCCCACCCCTCCTTGTGCGAAGGCAGCATCGCTGTCATGCTGGTTGTCTGAGGGAAACACCTTACTGCTGTCACACCTCTGTACAGTCAGCAGTACGACTTCGCCTTCGGACCTTGGGTTTGTTGCTTTTAGTCTTACCGCTCTTCAACCGACCTGTCTGACATGGTAGGACCTTGAGGAACGGTTGTTCCAGCCAGTATAGCTCGGTTGCGTCATCACGATAGGCAAGCCCGACCACCACGTCAAGGTAGCAACAACGGTCGGGAGATATGTATATGCAGTCTCTCATTGAGTAGATTTAATTTCTTACGTTTTGTATCTTCGTATACCTTCTTTGAAAAATGAATAAATTCAGGTTAACAAAAGTCCGAATGATAAAAAGAGCAAATCAGGCCAGAAATTCCATTTCACGCAGTTGGTCCGCCTTGCAAATCTAAACAATGCAAAAACGAAGACGTTTACAAAATACAATGGATTCATCGCTTTTAGTTACTCCCTACTCAGCCATTTGCAAGTTACTAGGTATAATCAGTTATAATAATAACGTACATGGAAACCAAGGAATAAATTATGCATCTGAAAAAGAAGTCCGACTACCTATAAGCACTCCATCAAAACTTTGATCTAAACTACATTACCATTTTAAATTCCAAACACTTTCGTTGCTACATCTATTAATATTTATTTAGGAGAATCCTATTCATTTTTATAGCTTCAACTCTCGGAATCCTAATACTTGCACATTGTGATTAAGTTTCGCTACTTATCGGTTTGAGAAGTAGAAGTTAGTATTTTATCATTTTTATCTATGCCCCATTCTATTTGTCATTTTTCTTTCACATAGTTTATATATATATATATATAATTTTTTAGTGACAGATATGATTTTAGACAGGGATCCTGTCACGGAAATGGTACGAGCCTTCAAGCTGTTCGATGAAGATGATTCTGGAAAAATTACTTATCGTAACCTAAAAAAGATCTCCAAGTGAGTTTTATTCAACTAATCTTTCGCATGATTATTAACGTTTTATTTATCTTGTATTCATTATACCTAATCAGTTACTAATTGGAGTTTTGGGATATCATTAAGAATTACTTACACCTGTTACCCCTCGTGGAGGAACATAGGCCGCCCACCAGCATTCCCCATCGAACTCTGTCCTGAGCAACCCTTTCCTGTTTCTATTCATCCTTTTGATGTCTGCTTCCAATTCCCTGCGTAATGTGTCCTTTGGTTTTCTTCTTTTTATTTTCCCTTCAGGATTCTAAATCAGCACTTGCCTCGTGATGTAGTCTGATGATTTCCGCAATGTATATCTTATCCACTTTCATTGTCTTTTTCTAATTTCCTCTTCACCTGGAAGCTGGTTTGTTCTCTCCCACAGTAGGCTGCTGCTGATGGTATCCGGCAAACGGACATTGTGTATCTTACGTAGACAATTGTTTATAAACATTTGTGCACTTTTGATAATGGTTATAGTAGTTCTCCAAGTTTCAGCTCCATACAGTCAAGCTGTATTGACGTTTGCATTTAAATTTCTGACTTTGATGTTGATTAACAGTTGTTTTGAGTTCCATACGTTCTTCAACTGTAGGAATGTTGCCCTTGTTTTGCCAATCCTTGCCTTTACATCTACATCAGATCCCCCTTGTTCATCGATGATGCTGCCGAGGTAAATGAAAGTTCCCACATCTTCCAGAGCTTCTCCATTAAGTGTGATTGGATCGGTGTTCTCTGGGTTACTACTAATATTAATTGATCTAAGACTTCAATAAAATGCAATCAAGAAATCGGATTCAAAGTAGACAGAATAGGATTGTATTATATTACTGTAACAAATTAAAGCACAGCATAAAACATTTAATCATACAAGAATTGTATTCTTTCTCTACACCACTGAATATTTATCATTGCCTTTTTAATAAATAAATAGTTATAAAGGGTAGGTCATAGGGCAAACTTTCCCTGCTTCATTCTAATCAACTCGAACTTACATTCAAATTCACTGGTTCAACTTTTCTTCAGCTTGATCTTGTAATTTTTCAAGACTTTAGCATCTACACGTTTTAGTGACCCTAAATCTGACTCCAGGTAGATCGTTATTGAAATAAACATGTCACCAATCCTTGACGTAAATCGCGTTAATGGATAACGGAATTAAATAAGTCTAATACGAGAATGAATTTCGTATAAGTGTATTTCATACAATCGTTGTTCCAGAATCAATGATTGGAGAAGCAAAGCGGAGAGAAATGATGTGCGGTGAAGAAGGCGTGTGAGCCAACTCGATTCGATCAAGTGTTGATCGATATTTATTGTCAGATAAAATTAAGTTACAGACATGTGATTAATAGGGTAAGAAGTGAACACACATACGCTTATATAAAATCAGTCAGGGTTGATAAGCGAATAATTAACAAGGTTAAAACGTGACTCAAGACGAATGAATAAATTGGTCTGTCCGGAAGCTGGAATAATCTATGTGGGCTTAACATAGCAACCAATACTACAAGGTAACTGTCATGTTGTTGCATCAAAATATTAAAAAATAAATTTAAATCCAATTCATATAATCAGTTTCTATACATTAAGTTTCTTTGCTCACTTCGTCTTAAGTTAGTAAAAGTAGATTTATTTTGTTGTTGTTGATAAACCTTCGATGTTTAGGCAGTATGTAATTGCTCAAATAGTAATATTTTAGGCAAATCAACTTACAGAAGTCACAGTTTTATGCATCTAATTAAGTAGATATCACATTAAACATTTATGGATGACAAATCGATGCTTTATATAGTAGGTGGTTTCTGCTCAAATATTTGGAGTTTCCTATTTAGAACAAACAAGTGTAATTACCCTTCAAGCCATCTTTGTAAATTAATAAAAGTCGTTAATGATTTCTATTGTTTTTTTTACTACTCGTAAGTAGTTAAAGTTAGTTCACTCGAATCTCTATGTCCATTTCTCCAGTTTTTTGATAATCAGTTACTTTAGCATCCATTTTCTCCATAATTCATCTTTTAGTATTCGTCTAAAAAGGTTGAATCATTTGTAAAGATTATTTTTATTCCTTGCCAACTATTAGCTGCTCTCTTTAATCATGAGTTATTCTTTGGAATACATCAAAAATTTTCATGTATTACTGTAAAATTGATTGTTTTTCATTAGTATGATCCATAAATTTGAATAAAATACATTTCATTATAAATTACCAGAATTAGATATTTATTTTTTCCATGGAATATCTAAAGGATCATTTTCTAAGGAAATGTACGGTCTTAACTATAAAATACTTAAATTAACAGATGTGACTTCATCTTTAATTAAGCTCTCAGCTTCGTCTTGTGATGTTCTTCTGGTAAGATCTATTACCATTCCGTAGTAATTCAACATCTAAACTGTTAACAGAAATATAACTCATTGAAAAATCATAGTAAAGAATCTTGAAATTATTGTAAATTACCGATTAACATCATTTAACTATCGTGCATTCATGTATTGAAACTGCTAACTCATTAGTCACGCATTTTATTTACAACCATTCGATCTCTTGAAGAGAGCACGAACAAATAATATATGTGGATTCATTTTACTTCGCGAGGTTTTTAGTAGCTGATGAGAAGTTTACGAAATGAAACGAATTCGTGTTATTCTGCTCAATTCTTTGTTCTTGCTCTCTTCAAGATAATAAAAGGAATTAGGTGTATGAATATTCGATCTCTTTTTAGATACCCTCTTTACCAACTCCTGCCTTAACATTCAGGTTTTATTCTCAGATATTCTAAACTAAATATAATCCGGAGAATTTAAATAAGTATTCCCGTACTTTATTTATTTAATACACATAAATACTGATACAAGTGGGCACCAAAATAAACATGAGCCACACAAATAAGAAAACAAAATTCTTGAGAGATATAGGATGGCGATGAAGTATTATCAAAAATAGGTGGATAAAAATAGGTGAACGAGAGTAGTATATAATGAAAGAAACCTTCCATTAGAAAATACGACCAGGAAGAATTTAAGTTAAGGGAGTTCCCTTCGTCTTTTTATGAATAATGCAGAAAACTACAATATCACTGGCTTCTGTTATGAGTCATATCCGGTAAAATATCAAAACACTGAGTTGGGCAATCTCTAGGACCGACGGATGACAGTTATACACGACTTATTTTCATATCGTGGAACCATGTCTTAAGGTAACCAAATCTTCGGTTTCACTAGCAAATAATCCATGCTATGGCGTGACATACGTTTAACTAATATCAGATCATGATGAATATCATTTACAATTTGAATCTTCATAAACCATGCTGTTTCTTTTTACTTTCTATATTGTCTTCCTATATCTAGCAAGTGATTTCACTTAGCCCTAAACATTAACAATTAAATGGATCAGTTATAAATATATTTAAAACATTACATGTGGAACTATTTCACCAGGCTATTTATTTATTGATTTATTATTATTATTATCTCTTTTTAAAATTCTTGTGACTGACTTGCAATCCGCACAGGATGCACATATACCAAAAGTGATTGACCAATTGCAGTGCTAAGCATCACTGGGAACACTCAAACAACCAATACAAATGAATTATTAATGCTGTTTTTATACAAAGACTGAGTTGACATTCTGACTGGAACTTTTAGAAAGTATTATCATTATTTTGATATCACTGTTAGATTTTCCCCAACAAGAACATGATTAACAACAAGTTATTTAAATTTGTTTTGTATTATTTGTTTGGATCTTCCCATTGATGTTTAGGACTGCAGTTGATCAGTCTCTTATTGGTATATGTGCATCCTGTCCGGATTTCCTTAAATCACGAGAATTACAAGTAAAGATGGATAGTCGCTAGCAGTGGGATCCAGGACGCACGTTTCGTCCTATTTGGAACTGCATCCCAGAGTTGATGTTCACTCCAGGACTCGCACCCAGTACCTAAACATCAATAGGAAGATTAAAATAAACAATACAATATGGATTTAAACTTCACCCTATTGCATAAGCTAGTGGCTATAGAACTCAGTAGCTAAATTGATAACGTGATGGTGTTTGAAGTTAATGGCACTGGGTTGGAGTCCCGGAGTGAACATCAACTCTGGGATGCAGGTACGTCCAACTGATGAGTCCCAAACAGTACGAAACATGCGTCCTGGATTCTACTGCTACCCACCATCCAACAGGTTATCTAGTTTTATTATGATTTTCTAGATTGTCTATTAACAATTTCTTATAGGATTATACGAAATTTTGATGTTATAGCCGTAAACATTCTTTTATAATTAAATAAAAACACGTACAGTTTTTAGTTTTTCATGAAGTTTTGAATGAAGAAATTACAAAATGTACGGAATAAAGTCCATTCAATGACTTGACATAATGTTCATATATTTATGTACCCGACTTGTTAGTGGTTCATACTACTTAACAACACATTGTTCACCTTTTTTTTGTTTGAAAAAAAGGCCATCTAAAGTGACCACATTTCAGATACTTTTAACAGTATGGTCGTTAAAACGGAAATATTTTTCAAAAAGTGCTGATCTATTTATTTGCTACTTTTTTCTCACAAGCGAAATAATTACCTTTTATAAAGGATTTCTAGTGTTTCGTGTATGCTCACTCTATTACTTGCCTACAATTGTGGGTTGAAATTTCTTTTTGTGATATATTCATTTGAAAGCTCTATGAGCTCATTGGTTTGCATTAGTAGTTAAATGGATTTTAATTTAATGAACATTCAACATTTTAGAATTTCACTTGAATTGCTTCAAACTATCATACTTCATAACTGCATAGAAGTGAAAAGACATAAAAATAGCATTGAAGTGAGTTTAAAGGAGTAAAACAATTAATTCGTAAAGTGATTTTCAACATCTAGAAAAAAGTAATTGAACTCATGATCTCGATCCATTTTTAGCCATTTTTTTCATTATCTCTAACCCTCAATTTTTTCTTCATTTTCGGGCCCCTCTCAAGAAGTTACCACCTTCTTTGTATGAATTGATTTAACACAAATTAACCTAATAGACTGTCTCCATTTCCTACTTTTTCTATCCGCACTCTGTTCCAACCTATCCCGTTCATCTCACAGCCAGAAAAGTAGGTAGTGACTCAAAACGACCTAGTCTATCTTCATAAATTTGTAACCTTATTGAGTAACTGACCTTTTTGTCTAAATTATTTGCTTCTTTATTTTGAAGCCGACCATTTAGTGGTCCATCACATACGGTTAATTCTGGAAAGATATTTGTCATAGAACACCTTTCTGTCTACTCATATCTGCCATATCTCAGGAATGTAATGGATTTTGATCGTGCTTTTTGCTGTATAGATTAGCGAACCCCATGCAAATCTTTTGTATTCTTGATAAGACTTCAAATAAACAAAATGATCAGTACGTTAAAACATTCTACCCACTATTCTTATCCTGTCTGAAATTACAGACAGGTGCGAAACGCATGACAAGTATTCTCTGATTTTATTCAATATGCTTTGAAGACCCAATTTATTTAATATTATGAAGCACATTTGTTTGTTTTTATACATTACCCAACAAAATATTCGCTTTGCTTAAATAGTTACTAGAAATTCTCACGGTGTCATCATTGTATTTGATGTGACTGTCAAAATTAGCATACTCATCTGATATCCTAGTTACACGTGACTGTAGATACTGATTAAGCTTAAGGCAGTTAGAATTAATTGGTTTATAAATTTTTGGTGGTGTATTACTATATTTACCAAGGCATTTTTTTAATTTTTTTTTCAATTTCTCAGTTAAAACAATGTCAAAAAGATCTCTTTCTTATACTTACCTACCTATAATGATCATAAAATATTATATTTACTGATCAAACTTTCTCATTTATAAAGTTTATTACTAATCTATCCACTCCACTTGTGATAGGCAGAAGTCGAATTACACTTCATTCACTAAAAGTATACATTCTAAATCACCAGTTTATTTGCCTTTTCTCTGCTATGATACAGAATTTGTAAAGAATTAGTGAATGGTAAAATTTCTCGAATATAAAACTTTTTAATAATACCCCTATGACTAATGTGTTACTATTTTTACATTTATCCAGTCAAATAATAGTAGTCTATTTGTCTATCATTTAATTTGATTTCATCCCAGACTATGGACATTTGATCAATGATATTAGTTTCTTTTTTTTTGTCTAATTAATTTGATCCGTATTTACTTTTAAGGAAATAAATTGTCTATTTCATCATATGCTATAAAGAAAATTATTTTATGAAACCTTATTTAAGAAAACATTGTCAGTTAACTAATCAAAATACTTTATGAAATTATCAAGGACTAAATAATTTTATTGGAATATAAAAGTATAACTTTCAAATGTTTATGTTCAGTAATAAACTTTCTCTTAGACTCCAAAAAAATATAAACTTTGTAAGGGTATTATCTGACAATCCGATAAAAGTTAATCTGTTTTGTTTTGTTTTGTATCCACCTTGACTTTGAAGTTTATTAGTTCACATAATTCATGAAGGTTTTCCAACTTTTCAAAGTAAAATTCTAAACTATTAATCCTTTATACTAAACCTTTTCATAATGTCTATAGTAAACTCCCACTTCCATATATCTACTTTGTTTGATATATAATGAAACTAGCTGAACTACTGATCTTTTCATTTGTCTGCTAAACTGGTAGCAAAGACTAATCTGAACTCTTTCTTAATTAATAGTTGTGATTGTTCGAAATAAGCAACATAAGGTTACAGATTTTTGTCATTATAATCCTGAAAGCTATAGTCACATGTAATAGGATATTTCAAAATTTTATGTTTAGTGTTATGTAAAGGAGTTTCAAGCACTCGATTATAAAACTTTGGATTGCAAGTTTAAGTAACACTCAATGTTACTCTAGATAGTTTAGAAGTCTTTGTAACTTCCCCATAAGTTTGGCTCAAAATGTACACGTACTCGTATTCACCTACTAAATTCAGTTACTACGTTTTTTATTAAACCTGTCGAATCACGTGCTTTATGCATATAGTGCAACCCACATTGTTACGTAACTAGCTTATGCAGAAAGGGGGATGAATAAAGTTCCAAAGAGTTCAAATAAAAATATGACAATTCGTAAAGTCTTTGATTGCTAGTCTGAGCAATTATAAATATTCTGATTGAAGTCAACTAAGCATAAGTCTTTATTTAATGATACATTCTATTCTGTCTGATGCACTAAATGCTTGCAACAGTAAATTTATAACAGATTTTTAAATTCCTGCATTCGTCGTCACTTTAACGTCGAATACGATAAAGGGGAAAAATAAGATAGCATTTTCATTCTCAAGGTTACCATATTTTGGATAAATCAAAAGAAATTTATAACATCCTCGGTAACCTTGGCACACTCCCGCGAGACCATAATTTATGGACAACTTGTCAGCGATGCCAAAGTAACCTTGAGAAAGTTCACCTACTAGAGTCTAAAGAAGATTATAACTTAGTGTGAGAAATCAGAACCGGGACTTAGAGTTAGAAGCTACGGTTAGGAATTAGAGGTAGGGTTTACGTCACGAAATAACGTCAACTATAGTACCAATATTCTATTTAGCCATATGGATGAATGAAGTTTGCACCAAAATATAAGACTTACTTTCTTAAATCTGATTAGTTTGTTCATAAATTATAGTCTCGCTGAAATTTCTGGGAAAAAATACTGATATTTGAGATAATCTGGTTACTTTCTTACTCAATTAGTTCACCGGTTGATTGAATAAAATTAGTAAGAGCTTTCCAACCTCTTGAGATTTTAAGGAACACTTGAAGATATCTCGTATTATATATCTTTTCACCATTTCATCATATAGAATTCACATCTTATTGTTCAGAATTTTCACACTCCTCCCCCTAACTTTTTCATTTTGGTATATTCCTAATTACTGTTGGTTATTGTTGTTGTCGTCGATAGTGTAAGCGTATTTATATTTCGTGATAATCATTAGACTCTTGTATACCTTATGCTGTTTAACAGTTAAGGGCTTTTTGTCAAGTGTTACATTATTTTCATATCTCAGTAATAATCATATCAAATAAAAAGTTTTCATTATGCTATAAACTGAAAGTAACAGCTATCCAAAGGACTAAAATAATTAGTTTTTGAAAGAAAAAGACATTTTTTTGGTAAGATAAGATCACTGAGTTTGATTCCAGGATAGTTTAAAATGATTTCATTGCTTGATATTTCCTTGTTACTGTGTTGTATCATTTGGTTTCAGGCTTTTATGGAGAATATCTTCACATGTCCTATTTTTTTAGTCGGTTATTCATTTTTCCTATTTTTGTTAATATGTTTCGACATAATCCATTAATAGATAAAAAATATATTTGTAATATCCCAATGAGTACAAAAATTAGATTTTCTGACGTTTCGTGACTTAGTGTAAGCCACTCCTTCAGATAGTAAATAAATAACCAGGATTTGGTTATTTATTTACTATCTGAAGGAGTGGCTTACCCTAAGTCACGAAACGTCAGAAAATCTAATTTTTGTACTCATTGGGATATTACAAACATTTTATTTATTTATAACAATCTACCCAATGCTCAATTTATTCGAAATTATCAAGTCAAACCTTGTAATGATACCTATAATCCATTGATGAAATCGTTTCATACATCTTAAGAAATAAGTATCATATACTTTTCTTTATAATGTATATTAGGGGAAGAACTCACTGAATAAAATATCTAATACGTTGTTATGATTCGTTCAGTCTGATAAGCTGACTGATAAGATTGAGGTTTCCAAAATTGATAAGTTTCACTCACTTGAGTGATCTCCGAATCACAACCGCATGGATTTCAAAAGTCTGAGCATCTATCCAACTGATTATGTGTGTTAAGATATAGAAACTATTAGTCGTGTCATATGCTCAGTCGAAATGGTAAAACTGAGTCTGTTTGCAGATTAACTGTGGGACAAAATAGAGATCACAAATTAACCGATGATTCTTTCAATTTTATCTATCATTAGACTATTGTTAGATAAAATCTTAATGTAACACTATCATGCCTATTTTCTCGAAGCACCTGGACTGATTGTTTTTGCAATATCTACCAAATAAAATTTATCTATAATATCTGAATCCATGCAATACTTTTTTGTTGATTAAGTTTTAATAGAACGATCAAATTAATATATTATGACAAAAAACCCAGATAACTTTGTAGTTGGGATGAAATAAAATAGTTGTTTCAAATCGATATGACGAATAGAAACGTGGTCTCATTAGTAGTTTACGCTTTCCATTTCTACCATTAATCGATTGCTTATTATCCGATAAGTCAACCCTACTGCTTTGGTTAAATATTCTGTATGTAATTTCCTAATATATTTTTAATCCGTTGGAGAGTTATTCTGTTTTCGTAAACCTGTTCGTGTGGGAATTCGGAAAAGCTTTCGCAAAAAAAATTATCCATTTGGCAGCGTCAATCACTGGAATTTTACTAATCAATTATTTGCTCATAACACGAAGCTCTTAGGACAGTTTAGATTGCTGAATAAGTATTTGAGTACTTTTAACAAAATCATGATTATAATTTTACTATTCATTGTGGGTTGATACATCTGTTTCTTGTTTGTTTTCTCTTAGAGAACTTGGTGAAAATTTATCAGATCAGGAACTTCGTGCTATGATAGAGGAATTTGATCAAGACGGAGATGGTGCGCGTAAGTTTATAGCAGCTAGTTTATTTTGGTGCAGGTTAATTCTGTATACCTTCACTTTAAATAAAACACGCTTGTAGCAATGGTCTTTTATCAACTTATGATAATCACTTCAGTTTTTCAGGTTAATTTTGAGTGTTCCACTGTCACTAATTATTATTACTGTTATTATTGTGCTGTGTTTAAAATATTTGATGATTCGAGTGATAACGTATGAGGAATATTACGATCTTCAACTTGTACCGTACACCTCATCCTCTGGTTTTGACCTGAATCACTCAGAATTATTGTCTTCCATTGCTGTACGGACAGTTTTGGCTTACACCTTATAAGTAGAACTTCTTCAGAGTTGTCGGGTGTCTTTTGATTCATTCTCAATAATACTCATTCAATTGTTTTATTCTGTTGATTCCAATCATCTTACAGCTATTTACATATTAAAATTAAAAGAAAGATAGTGTCAAATTTGAGTTTCATGACCACTTTACTCCATGATTCGATTAATGCACATGCTAAAAGAATCAATATTAATAAATTTCAGCATATTGTATACATCGTTTTAATTCCCTACTATTAAAAAGTTACAATAGCAATAAACATTGTTATTGCTTTTATTCTTACTACGCTATATGTAGAAAGTTGAATACATTTCTGTCATTTCCGCTTTCTATATACTTTTTCTCATTCTCTTTTCATATATATTATTTCTATGACCGATACTATATATATACTTTAAAAGCATAATTCTATTGTGTATGCATTATTAGTTGGTCACCGGCATCTAATTAACGTTTCTCATGTTTCCAATAATAAGCATGCCATTTTTCATTACGTTTTGAATGCCTTATCATTATTGTCACTGGTGAATAACCATTCTATCACTATACATGTCCTACATTATTATAATTAATATGAATAATTTATTCTAGTTTCATATGTATATGTTTATAATTGTTGTTGATATCGTTACATCATTTATATGCTATAGCTCAACCAGTTTGTCTATATCCGTTATGTTTATAAATCTATCTCTTGCTTTTGCATGCATGAAAAGATTGCCACTTCTTTAATATACATTAATATCCTAGTTATTTTTCACATTTACATTTGATCTTTGTTTCTTACCTGGTTTGTTTAGTTAATATTTCTCCAGACACGATTTGACAATGTATCTCAATACATTTAAATATTCTATCCACATATTGTTTAACTAACGTAGAAAATTTTCATACTTTTCTTTAATTTCTCTTCATTTCGCTTAGACAGAGGGAAACAAACAAAAGTGCTAAACTTGAAACATTATTCATCTCATATTTAATCGTCTTCTCCGTAAGCGAATAAGCTAATTTCAATTTTGAAACGTTGTAAGCGGAATTTCAGTATAGACCAATGAGACTCGTAGACGATTTGTAGACATGTGACATTTAAAAGTCAATATCAAATAAACATTCAGGGATGGTGTATGCGAACTATGTATTGGTTAAACATTCATTATCTAATATTTTGCAAGAAACAATCAATTTTTTAACTTATCATGACGAAACAATCTGTCTGGTTAACATATATTCTGTTTGACAGACATTTGTATCTCATTTGTTTAAGTTGTCGAATTTCGTCTTATCTGTTAAAGATTCAAACCTTGTAATACTGTCTGAATTTGGACAGCTAGATGGCCTGATATGTCTCGTCATGAATATGTACACATTATTAGTAATAACAATATACTAGACTGTTTGAATCCAGCTTGAACCCTAGTACCTGTTTATATATTTAACTTCTACTTCATTCGATGAATTACGAAATTTTTATCAAACCCATTTCTGTCGTTTGTTTATTTCTAAGTATATCCATTTCTTTTCTAATACAACTAACCAAATAGTTATCGGTCCGTTGGAAAATGTTGCTAGCTATTGACTGTAAATACAAGTGATGTTATCCTAAAGTACACATCATATTTTGTGTTATGGATTTGTTACAGATTCTTAACAGTAATTCCTTATACCAGCAAGCCAAAACTCTACACATTTTCAGTGGAGAATTAAACATTTAGACTGCTCCCACTAACTTTGCTTTAAAAGATGATGTTTAGGTTTTTAAATGAAGTTATTCGGATGTCGTAAATCAATAGTTAAAGGTCCTACATGACTTAAATGTATATCATCTACAATGACGCAGTTGCATCCACTGCTTACATTTCTTTGAATTTGAATCGTCTAATTTTAGTTGCATAGGTTTATTGACAAATTGACTATATTCTCATCGTTTATTTTACCTTATTATTTTCTGTTTTTTGAATTTTTTTTAAAATGTTTTGATGAATAAAAATCTATTCATTTTTATACGTTTTCTGTTTTCCATCACCCTATTAGTCTACTACACTACTCAATCTTATTTAAGTACACCATTTATTGGAACCCCGCTGATGGATAGGCAGTATTAACAAAGTGGACATATTTAATTCCAAAACGAAGAGAATGGGTTTGCTGTTACAGTACTCGATTCTCAATTGACAGATCACGGGTTTGAACCTCATTTATCGACTCTTGTTTAGGCAGATAATTTATGTCACTTTTCCCTTACACAATTAATCTGGATTAAAGCAAACTTTTACTCGGTAAATGTGTGCAACTATTGTTCAATTGCACATTATATTAGTTTTAGTATTACTGACTTCTTGAATGGATAGTGAATGCTATTGATTTCTGAATGCAATAATTTTATTGCAGAAGTATTTATCCAATTATATTTTATCAAATACAAAAGCGTTATGATTTCTTTAGGTATCTATTAGTGATTCAATTTATTATATATGTATTTTGATGCTTCTTAAAACAATTCAATAAATTATCAAATTTACGTATACCACATTATTAATTCTTTCTACCATTTGACGTGAGCTTATATTTATAGCATATGTTTCGGTAGACAGAATGATCGATGTATTGATCTGTGTTTGAGAAGATCTATTTCTTCTAATTCAGAAACTACTCATTTAGTCCCCTGGAAAATTAAGCTATATTTTCAACCAATAGCATATGTCTGTTTCCTCAGAAAGCTAAACCAAATATTAACCAACAACAAGTCCTCTTTAACATATTTCACTTCTTATTTGGTCTATATCTGATTAACCTAGAGTATCATACATGGGATATGTATTCCAGTAAATTAATTGACTGAAGAGAATAATCGTTTTTGTTGTTTTAATGGTGAATCATCTAAAACTTAAAGAATATTATGTAAATAGGTTGAAAATCAGGTCAACTTTATTTTCTCTTACATGTAAAAATTTATAAAAAGTATATCTTTCTATTTGGATAAATTTGTTAAGGATAAATTCTTTATGCACTTCATAAATACGATAGAAATTCAATCTTATTAGTTATGTCGTTATGTTCAGTGTCACTTTTGATTTGTTTTTTGTATTGTATTTGTGCAATATTCATAACCATATAATCTGATTTATGCTTTTTGTACATAAATGAAGTTTACTTCATTGTGAGGAAACTAAGTTGTTTTAGGAATTGCTTAATTATCTTTTTTGTCATTTCTATTTGATCGGAATAATTGCTATCATTAGTTAGCGGTTATTCGTGTGTATGTTATTATTCATATTTCTTATTTTTAAGGGGAGGACTGTGAGACCCCACCCCAGTGACAAAAACTACACTCCCGAGCGCACCCGATTAGGGTTCATCGCGAGTTCCAACCCACCAAGGTGCAATGGTGAACCTCCACCTGGTGTCAGAGCATCCTTGAACCCGGCGCTAGATATTAAGTATGTGAGGAATATACTAGTCTTGATTCGGAATGTAGGTACTTGCCATTTTTCTTAACTCCCCTATCCTGATTGTAACTGATTACTGATAGAAAATTTTCCATCTCTATAGTTTAAATTGTTTATCGTTTAATAATCCTAAAATATGTTGAATCTGTCTTATGAGTAATATACATTGTATTCAGTATTATCATATCAATTATTGTTGTCATTTATTCTCATACTTTCTTTCTTAGTTAATTTGGAAGAATTTATGGCGTTAATGACAAAGGAAATATAATTCACCAAATTGTTTATTGAATCAAACGAACAACTGTGTACTTAATTATCCCAGTTAAATACATATCATCATTCTTCTGAACTCAGTTTGATATGACCAGTATAGTTTGAATCTGCCTTCCTTTTGAATTTGATGCTGCTTTTTGTGTTTGTGAATGATCAGCTCCCGATATGGGTGGTGATTATTGTTGATGGCAGTTGATCTACACTAAAAAAGTACTTCATCTTATTTATTTCCTCTTACCGGGCATCATCATCTATGTATATTATCATTCTGGTCAATTCTTTAAAATATTTCACAAATAATCTACATTCTTCTACTTTTATTGTTCACAGCTTTCTCACATCTGTGTGAAATTATATACGTATATAAATATCATGTCTAACGTAAAAGCAACAAGAAATGCTCTAAGTCATAGTTAAACATAATCTATACGAAAATATAGGTTTCATAACTTTTGACAACCTGATTTGATTGTCTCTGTAATCATCAAGTAAATACACTTGATTATTGTGTGGTGTTATGTAATAAAATCAACTTTACATATCTTTTGTTAACGTGATAATCAGTTTTGATAATAACAATTGGAGAAATCCAGGACTTTGTCATTGTTTATCAGATTACATAATCCATTCGATAGAGTACTAACCTGTTAATGTGAGGATTGTTAGTATAAATATATTCACTTTTAACGCTCTCATCAATTGAATCGAATAATTAACCACGTAGCAGTAACCAATCCCTTGTCTAGACCTCAGCTATGAACATATCTTACTAGTCGGTATCATAGCGCACTTTGTTTGATGTTAAGTATTTGAAGGTAATCAACAGAAAGTCAGCTACAACGTAGGACTAGGCACATATATACATCGGTCCAAGTTGCCACACCTCATTAGCGCAACAAGATAAACACCAAATTCATAGAAGTAGTCACTTCAGTGGTAGTAATGCATAAAAGAAAGATTGTATATATAGTGCAGGGAGAAAGAATTAGTTCGCAGAAAGAAAGACGTAAAGCAATTTTAATCTCATGGTTTAAGGGAAGACAAAGAGTGATCGATTTTGAGCCATGTCACCCAGAGCCTCCAACCATTGGTTACGGTAGTCACGCTGACCCCAACCAAGTAGTCTGCATTTACCAACACGGCTCAGACTAGGAGTTAGTGACTTCAAGGACTGGTGCCACTTTTTGGGTTGGCCACTGTTGGGGACGATAGATCCCCAAACTCATATTTTAAAATTTATCTTATCGATCATCTTATTGATTAAATGTTAGATATTTTTATTGGGGTCAATTGGTGAACTAATCGATTAAATGTTTGAATAGCAGTCAATTGATGAACTATCGATTACATGCGCAAATAGGTCAATTAATGAACTCATTGATTAATGTTTAAAAATTTTCTATCGATTGTAAATAATTGTATAAATACGCTTGACTTGTATGCTTGATCTGATCTGCCTGCCTGACTTGTTATCTGCTGTTTGTCTGTAGAATACACTTCTACACCTTACCCAGACTTCTTGATCGAGTTAGCTGAGTCGGGGACAACGAACCAGAATAGTCTATCGAGTCGCTGAATCATTGATCCTTCGTTCGTTCGAGTAAGACGCATCAGTAATCGCATTCAAGCAATAACGAACCATAACAAATTGGCGACGGTGGTTTTTCGATTATGGACCCTGCAAAACTTGAACTGTTACTTGAGCAGCAGCTAAAATTGATGCAAATGTTAATGGAGACCAAGGTTACGCCTCCTTTACAGCCAAGCACGTCGAGCTCAACCACGGCACCATCGGTAGATGGCATCGCAAACAGCATAGCTGAATTTCATTACGATCCTGATTCTAATGTTACTTTTGAAATGTGGTTCAGGCGTTATGAAGATCTATTTAAATTTGATTTCGCCAATCAAGATGATGCTTGGAAAGTGCGGCTGCTACTTCGTAAACTGGGTGCAAATGAGCTGGACAAGTATTGCAATCTGATCTTGCCGTTGAACCCACGTGATCGATCATTTGCAGACACAGTTCAAACATTAATCCAGCATTTTGGCGATAACTCGTCACTGTTTAATACTCGTTATCGTTGCTTGAAGCTGACTATGAACGAAGATGATGATTTTCTTACGCATGTGGGCGTCGTCAACCGTGAATGCGAACGCTTCCGGTTAAAGTCCTTGACTGAAGATCAGTTTAAAGCCCTGATCCTTATTTGCAGCCTACAGCACCAAAAGTTCAGTGACTTACGAACAAGGCTACTAAGTCGTTTGGATCAAGAACCGAAACTCACCCTGAGTGATATAGCTAATGAATATCAACGTCTCATTAATCTTCAACGAGACACTTCTATGGTCCAGAGTGGTGGTTCTAGCCGATTTGAAGTACGAGCGGTGCAACAGACACCTCACAAAAACAAACACGTCCCCGCTTCATCCAGTCCATCTCACTCCAGCTCTAGACGACAGACTAAAGCAACTCCTCCTGCTCCTTGCTGGCAATGTGGTGCATGGCACTACGTTCGAAACTGCCCATTTAAACAACATCGATGCAAGAAGTGTAAGGTTATTGGCCATAAGGATGGGTTTTGTCTGACGAAGAAGACTCCAAGTCAATCAAGAAATACCAAAAAGACCTGTCCTAGATCCCGCACCAGTTCATTGAGCTTAGTATCTTCGTGTCAAAGCTCATCACCGTGTCAGAGAAAATTTATTACTGTTAACATTAATGGGCATTCATTTAGACTGCAAATAGACACTGCATCTGATGTAACAATTCTCTCACGAAAATATTGGATCAGAATGGGAAGACCACGCATGGTTCCAACAACACAAAAACCTCGAACTGCATGCGGTAATTACCTACGTTTGTTGGGACAACTAGATTGTAAAGTGTCTTTTCACGATTCGACGTTTACCGGTGTATGTTACATCACACCAGCTGATCTTAATCTACTTGGGTTAGACTGGTTTGACCAGCTACATTTAGCTGACGTTCCTTTAAGCACCGTATGCCATCTGGTGAAACAACCTCATGAACCTGAAACATATTCGAAAGAACTACTGACGGAGTTTTCAACCAGCGAACACCATACGGCCGGCGAAGATACAGTTATCGCCTCCCTGATGACAAAGGACTACGCGCAGTGCTACCTGACAACTGCTATTCGTGCTTTGCCAGTCTCAGCAGCTGAAATACAATCTGCATCCAAGAACGACTCCATCATAAAGAGAGCGATGAAATACGTCACAAATGGCTGGCCGCCGACTGGACTCGATGGTGACTTGAAACAGCTTTACCATCGTCGGGACTCATTATGCGTCGTAAACGAATGCTTGATGTTTGGAGATAGAGTAGTGGTACCAGAATCCCTAAGATCAAAGGTGCTAAAGCAATTCCACACTGGTCATCCTGGTATAAAACGAATGAAATCCATCGCCAGAAGCTATGCTTATTGGCCCCTCATGGACCAACATATCGTGGATTTAGTAAGCAAGTGCACACAATGTCAGCAAGCAGCTAAGTGTAACGCGAAAATACTACCAGTCCCATGGCCACAGCCTGAGTATCCCTGGTCCAGGATACATGTCGATTTCGCAGGCCCAATTAACGGAATCACCTATCTAGTTGTTGTCGACGCCTTTTCGAAATGGCCTGAAATCAACCCTATCATACCGCCAACGACAACTAAAACAATACAGATCCTCACAGAAATTTTCTCTCGAAATGGTATACCAGATGCTATTGTGTCTGACAACGGGTCACAGTTCACATCCAGCCAATTTCAGTCATTCTGTCAACGACTAGCCATAAAGCACTTACGCTCGCCACCATGCCACCCGCAGTCGAATGGGCAAGCAGAAAGGTTTGTGGATACGTTTAAGAGAGCCTTGGCTAAAACAAAGGGGGAGGGGACGCCAGCAGACGCGTTGCAAAATTTCTTATACGTGTATCGAACAACACCAAATGAAACGTTGCCGGAGCGAAAGTCCCCAGCCGAGATCCTAATGGGAAGAAGACTGAAGACAATCCACAGCCTGATGCATCCAAGGAATGCACCGACACCAGTACGGACAAAGTTTGAAAAGCAATCCACGTACGAAGTGGGATGTCCGGTGTTTGCCCGTGATTACAGACCGACCCATAGTCCATGGACAGAAGCGCGAGTGGTCAAAAGAGTTGGCCGAGTCATGTACGAAGTTGAGGTAGGTAGTGACAGGTGGCAACGCCATCGGAACCAGTTACGCAAACGGTTAGCCCCAGACCGCCCATCAACAGAATCAAATATTCCTCTTGACATTCTGCTAGACACATTCAACTTACCGGCAACCCCACCACAAGAAAAACCTCAACAACAAACTGAAACACGTCCAAGACGGTGGCCTATCCGAGAACGGCGAGCAACAATCAGGATGCAGGTTGACCCCAGGAAAGCCCGCTATTAAAAAGGGGAGGAGTGTTGGGGACGATAGATCCCCAAACTCATATTTTAAAATTTATCTTATCGATCATCTTATTGATTAAATGTTAGATATTTTTATTGGGGTCAATTGGTGAACTAATCGATTAAATGTTTGAATAGCAGTCAATTGATGAACTATCGATTACATGCGCAAATAGGTCAATTAATGAACTCATTGATTAATGTTTAAAAATTTTCTATCGATTGTAAATAATTGTATAAATACGCTTGACTTGTATGCTTGATCTGATCTGCCTGCCTGACTTGTTATCTGCTGTTTGTCTGTAGAATACACTTCTACACCTTACCCAGACTTCTTGATCGAGTTAGCTGAGTCGGGGACAACGAACCAGAATAGTCTATCGAGTCGCTGAATCATTGATCCTTCGTTCGTTCGAGTAAGACGCATCAGTAATCGCATTCAAGCAATAACGAACCATAACAGCCACCCCTAACTTTCTTGCAACCATCTCCAACACTAGTCAGCATTGCGCGTCGTGGTAAACGGTGTTCAGGCATGCGTAAAACGTGGCCCAACCATCTCAGTCGATGAAGATTCGCGACCTCATCAACTGATTTATCATCATTCCCTAATACTCTGCGCCTAACCTCACTATTACTTACCCGGTGATCCAAGCAGATAAGAGCAATATTTCTAACACATCTTTGATCAATTGCTAGTAACTTACGAGTATCCTCTACCCTTCAACACCACGTTTCGCAGCCGTAAAGAAGAACAGAACGAACTGCTGTGCAGTATACTCATCCTTTAATTGATAGACGGATATCTCGCCCTTGACATAGGTGACGTGAGTTGACAAAAGCCAAACGAGTTTTCTGAGTCCGTGCTGAGATTTCATCAGACACCATCCCATTTGGGCTGATCAGATGTGTTCAACTACTTCACTTCCGATCCTTAGTTCAGGTGTTGATTCAGGTCAGTCCTGAAGCAACAACTGGCATTTAGAGTGGGAAGAACGCACACCAAACACCCTGGCATTGTTGGTCAGTGCTACTGAAGGACTCTGTATTTTATCAGCGTCTTCACGAAACAGGACTATGTCACCTGCATATTCTAAGTCCATAAGTGGACCTCTTGGTAGGTGATCAATTCCTGAAAGTTCAATCGACGAGAAAGTTATTTCCAGCAACAGGTCTGTGATGAAATTAAACGAAAATGGAGATAGTGAACAGTCTTATCGGACACCATTTGAGGTTGCAAAATCAGATGACAGTTCGCCATAAGCTCTGACTCGACTGATAGTGTTCGAGTAAAAAGCCCTGAGAAGATTTCTGACGTACACCTTTCCATACAAACCCTTCCACAGAACGTCTCAGTTTACAGAGTCAAATGCTGCTTTTAAGTCAAGATAAACTGTCATTGTTGGACGCCGATAAGCATGCCAGTGTTCTAAGACCTAACGAATGGTGAATATGTGGTCGATGCAACCACGATCAGGTCTGAAACCAGCCTGATTTTCTCGAGTTTGCAGTTCACGAGTCTTTGTTAGGCACCCGATAATTATTGTGGTTAGTATTTTAGATGCTATATTGGTCAAACTAATCCCTCTATGGCTATCACAGGCTGATTTTGGTCGTTTCTTATATATTGGGACAATCAGTGATTGCGACTATTAGGATGGGATTACATCCACTTCCCAGATTTTAGCTAAAATATTAGTCAACCTAGTCGCTAAAATTGGACCCTCATATTTGTATACCTTTGGAGTTAATCCATCTGGACTAGCTGCACTTCCTCGTTTCAGATTAGCTATAGCTTTTCGAACTTCATTTAGAGTCGGGAGGCGTAATTCAATGTTCCATTCAAGCTGTTTGGGAATGGTGTTTAGTTGTAGAGTAGTTGAAGGCCAGCTGAACTGCTCCCTAAAGTATTCCGCCTATCGTTTTAAACGTGTAGACTGAGAGCAGATAAGTGTCGTCTTTTTCCCAGATATTGTCACTTGCACTTGGCTTCTTTATTCCTGTCTCTTTTATTAGTCTGAAAAGCTATCTTGAGTTACCTCCAGCCACTGCCTTTTCTATCTCATTTGCTTTCGTTGCCCACCACTGCTCACGGTCATTCCGTAGACTTTTGGCTAACCTATATCTGATTTGTTTTCTCTCTTCATCGTGTTCAGAGCCTGATAGGATGAGTTTACGAGAATCTATCAGTGCAATAGACTTAGTAGAAATCCATTGGTTTTTCTTAACCCTTTGGTTTAAATCACTAATAAATGTCACTACTGTTTCCACAGTTGTTTGTATATCTTTCCAAGCAACACCTGGGCCAACCTCTTTTTCAGAACTACCTAAGTGTGACCTCAGTTGTTCCTGGAATCTACTTTCGACATCCTCGTCACTAAGAGCAACTCTAATACGTCTTCTTATTTTGGTTTTTCTGCGTCCAGTGAGGTGCAAGCAAATGCGTGCTCGTATTAGAGCTTGATCGGAGTTCAAGCAGGTATTCCAGAATGAGCGACAACCTTCTATCGACCCTCTCCAACGACGACTGATGGCAATATGGTCTATTTGAGTCCATCGTTGGTTTGGTGCGAGGGGTCGCCATGTTAGACGATGTCTCTCCTTATACTAAAAATTAGTGCTTGCTAAACATAAACGATTGTCTGAGCACAGTTGCAACAGACAATCACCACTATCTGTTTGCTGAACCGGAACACTATAATACCTAAATGTCCTTCTGTTTGGTTTAAGCTAACTACTTAAGCATTAAAGTCACCTGCTACGAGTACTATGTCTGAGCGTTTAGCTTTCTGAAGAAGTTCAGAGAGCTTTCTGTGAAAGTCATCTTTCACTTCATCCGGACTGCAGTGACTGGGAGAGTGGGTAGAAACGACGAAAAGACAACAACGTGTAGCCTTATCCTTCCGAGTTCTCACAAAGCCATTTAGCCTAACAGCATATAGGTTATTGTTAACAAGGATCCATTCTAATAGTGTTTGTTCTGCCCTCATACTTAGTGCTATGCCTACACCCACCAGACCACGGGAACTAGCCATCGGGTCACCAGATGCACGGAGGGTGTATCTCATCGGCTCTCTGTTTTGGCGAGGTGAGGTCAAGTGAATGAGCACACTAGGATCCTGTATGTGTGTTTCGGAGACACAGCATACATCAATGGTACGAGATTCTAGGGTTTTAGCCAAGGAGGCCTGCTGGCCGATTTGACATAGGGCGTGTACGTTGAAGGCTCGAATGTGTAGTTTGAAGCGAGGTTTCAATAGACCTGGGGCAGTGTTTTGAGCACTAGAATAGTTGGCCATGGTGACACTTGAGGAGGAAGTCAAAATAGTTGAAAGTCGATGTAGGAGGAATAATAGAAATTGAAGAGGGAGGTTGATTATGAATACAGTGGTCTTGAGTGCTGTTAGGGGTATGAGGGCGGTTATCACTTCCCGGTTGCCCACACCGTGGAAGGGTTCTTCTGGAGGTACCTGAAAAGGAAATTGGGTTAGAGGTGGTCTTAGCGACCTGAGAGCGTGACCGCAGTGCCCCTCTTACAACTGACGAAGTCGGTTACACACGACCTTTTTGTGAGTAATTCTCGTGTTTGCTCCATATTTGTTGAGACCTTACCACCGGAGGTCCGTGGGATAAGGCCAAGTGTGCATTTTTAAGTCCGACCTTTTCTAACCCCACCCTTCCTTCGTGGGAGGGCAACATCGTTGTCATGCTGGTTGTCGGGGGGAAACACCTTGTTGCTGTCACACCTCTGTACAGTCAGCACTACGACTTCGCTCTCGGATCTTGGGCTTGCTGGTCTTAGTATTACCGCTTTTCAACCGACCTGTCTGACATGGTAGGACTATTAGGAACGATTATTCCAGCCAGTAAAGCTCTGTTGGTTCATTATGACAGGCAAGCCCGACCACCATGTCAAGGTATCAGCAACGGTCGGGAATTAACAACATTCCCTTAATTTACTGTTTATTCTAGGTGACATGAGATAGCGAGATGTGCTCGAAAACTGGAGGGAAATACTGCTCTCTGTGGGATTCAAATTTACATCACCCAGTGATTGTTAACTATTTGGTTCATTGTAGCAGGTCATTCACATCCCGAACAGCTTTCTGGGTTTACCTCCAGCTTATTAAAATATAGTAAAATATAATTTCATGTGAGCATTACTCTAAGCTAAGTGTTGCTAAGCTACTCAAACATATTAAAATGAATGTTTCCCAATTTCACCATAAATTAATCCTGATTCAAATGAACAAACTTACAACATGCTGTCGATCCACCAGCCTTTTTAACAGGACTTGGTTAAATAAATTAAGAGTTTGGGGAACAAAACTGGCGTTTCCTGTAAAACATTAGCACATTTGTACCCTCGTAACTTAAGGACTCCCAAGTAAAGGATAAGTGTTTCTCCAACAAGTAGCCAAGTTCAGAAATATATACAGAACATTTTTATTCGTTACTCAACGAACAATTAAAAACTAAATCGATACTAGTTACCAGTACGTCTCCCTTACCTAAGTGATAGACTTTCCAAATACAACCATCAGTGATGAGTGAATGTGGCTTGCTTTATAGTCATATCCAATATTTCAAAAGTTTCATATTTAGATCAGATTCTGAATGGTAAATTATTCAGAGCTATACTAAGCTTGTATTTTAAGTGAAATGACATGGTAGTGTATAGTGTTCTCCAACTAAGATTCTTATTGTTGACATCCCACTACTACAAAATAATAGATAAATTCAACGAAACATTTACAACTAGAGGATTCAACTTTGAGTAGTGTAATATTTTAATCAAATACTTTGTCACTACTCTATTTAGGTAACAATGTGGTTATTAGATGTGTGATGATTAGGAGTATTTGAATTATAGTATGAACTAAGAATCCCAGGAATAACGTAATCGGATCAAGAAGTACTAGATAAACACGAACGAATGTACTGTATTTGGAATTCGAAATCAAGCATTCAACAAGTACAAAGGAATCATTAGTTCATTCAAACACCACAAGATGTCACTTAGGGATTTTACCGTTCTAAAACTGATTCCTAAATACATTTCAATCCAAAAAAGTTAACTAGCTACAGCTTGAGCAATTGAGCAGTAAATTTCCTGGCTAAAGTAATTCATGGCAGACAAGAATTTTTAAGGGATAGACAGTTTTTCGAAATTTCTTACTGCTTCGATTGACGAATTTAGTGAATCACAAAGGTAATTACACTGAGTGATCTGCAAGTTTTAGTAAAAGATTTAATGATTCTAGGTATGACAGTGGACATAGGTTTCAGAACCTTTTTATTTTCAGTAAGTTCAGAAAAAACAAT